AAGGGGAGGGAGAGGGAGAGGGAGAGGGGAATTACATGTGAAACAAGCCTGTTCCCTAACTTGAATTAATAATAATAAAAAGAGAGAAAAAAAAATGTTTTGATTTGAAAGGCAAAGTCAAGGTTCTATCAGAGTATGAGATTAACATAAGTAAAATTCCAGTTACCCATGAAAAGGAGGAAAATATCAGGAATAGACACAACCTTTGATCCTATAATGACAGCCAAAGTCAGCCAACTTACATTCTACACAGAACGTTAATACAGGCTGTGCCTCTCGTCCTAAAAGTGCAACCTGAAAGGCTCCAAACACTAAAATTTCCTGAACACTAACATGATGTCACAAGTGGAAAAATCCTCATCTGACAGAAATACTAAAAATACTACACGAGGTCACCTCGGGCAATGCAAGGTATACATGAACACAGATATACTGGGTCCCATTACCAAGGCCCCTGAACACACACACAGACACACTTTTGGCCATAAACATTTCACACAAGCAATATTCACCCTGTACAGTTATTAGATTTCTTAGGCCACAGCCAGTACCTAGAATGGAGGCTGCAAAAGACAGACATCTCAAGGGAAGAGAGAGAAGCTATGAAATTCGTCACTGACCATCACAAGGGCCTGGAGAACCACAGTATGTGGACTGAAAAAATCATTTCACAGCCACATGAACTTCACCAAGTGACTTACTGTCTGTCACCTTTCGTCTCAGGAAAAGGAAAGGTAACTACGGTTGTCGCCTGACTTCCATTGGAAAAGACAATTTCCAAACACCTGGAAGGAGATTCTATAATCCCAGCCTGAAACCTTGTGAGCGACCCTGAACCAGAACCTGCCAGCCACACTGCTTCCCAGACCCTCGTCTTCAGAAGCTCATGAGATGGTGTACTTTTGCCTGAGGTTGCTAGGTTTTGATATAATCTGTGAGACAGCAACCCAAAAAAATAATATGTTATATGTAATAATTTGTCTATTAATTGATAGGCTAAAAGTTTTCTAAATATAGTTATTAAGACTCAGCCATATGGACTAGATTATAGAGACTAGCAGGCTCATCTCAGAGCAGCGTGCTTACACAGCAGAACAGCATACTCTAGATTGAATTTCTTGAACACAACCGTGGACTGATGGAAGAGAGCCATACAGATAAGAATCTGAAGTTCAGCACCTGGCCCAATGCTCAGACCATGCACACTGGCTTGGATTTATTCCACAGTGCCTACCTGTCCACAGTGTGTTTCAATACCAATAAAAGTCCTTTTAATCCTACCTGAATGAGGCACTTGCTCACATCGCTAGCACAGAGAGCTTTGTTACAGGTCTGTGACCTGGGGACACACATCAGGAACACCAGGGAGGCTAGGGTTAGCACAACAGAGGACGACTTCATGGTTCTTCGAAGGAACCCCTCGGTAACCGCCAGGAAGCTAAAAACAAAGCCAAACACACAAGACTTTAATTCGAAGGCAAATGGCAGGTCACAAAAGAAAACAAGCAAGAAACACTGTAAGTCAAGAATTAGTTGCTTGTGTCAAAATCCCTGAGGGATCATTTGAAAGTCATTCTCAAAGATTAAACATCCAAACATACGGGCTTGGGTGGCCATCTTTATTAAAGGAATGTAGAATGCTACTCAGACAAGGGAGGATGGAAATTATGGTGAACATGGCTAAAGCCCCAGCAATCTGGACGCAGACTGCTACTATTCAAATTCCAACGCTAGATTTTATTCAAATTCAATTTCAGTATTTAAACTCCTATGAGAACTGCCAGGCACAGTGCCTTTAAATCCCAGCACTTGGGAGGCAGAAACAGGTGGATCTCTCTAAGTCCATGGTCAGCCAGAGCTACCTAGAGAGACTCTGTCTCAAAAAAATTACACGTACATAAAATAATAAAAATTATATACATATATTTTTGTTTTAAGGGGACTCCTTTTTGCTATTAAAAAATGTTATGTGAATGTCTGGGTGTGTATGCACGCTTCCGTCCAGTGCTGCTGGAGGACACAAGACAGTATTGTATTCCGGAGCTGGACTTACAGGCTGTTGTGGCCTGCCAGATGTGGGTGCTGGGAACTGAACTCAGGGCTAGAGAGATGGCTCAGTGGTTAACAGTGTGCACTGCTATTGCAGAAGACCAGTCTTGTTCCCAGAACCCATCTGGGGCAGCTCACAATCACCTGTGACTTTAGCTTGACAGACAGACAGACAGACAGACAGACAGACAGACACACACACACACACACACACACACACTTAAAAATAGCAGAAGTGCATCTTTAAAAACATTAATACTGTATCATTTTAACACACCTTGTAGATTCTCTGGGTATCTGTGTTCACGTGCTGCTGGAGGTCGGACCTAGGGCCTGGGTTTGAGGCAAGGTTTCTACCAAAAACCATACCTTCAGCTCCAATTTTTAAAACGTTAGCATCAAAACAAAACTGTACGTGAAAATTACCCTAATGATTATCTCATTTTGTCAGTAAATACTTCAGAGAGAGAGAGGAGTGGAACCCACAACCATTCAAATAAGTGTACCAATAACAAACACCAATAAATTACTAATATCATTAGGAACTGTGGGTGAAGGTGAAGATACTCTTTTTGTTAGTACCAAAGAGTCTTCCATTATCAAGAAGGTAGCACAGTACAAAAAGAAGACAAAGGGCGGGGGCAGCAACACAGGTTTTCACAGGAGCTATAATTTGGGGCTGGCTAGATGGGTAGAAGCCCTTGGCCGGCCAACATTCTACGCCTCAAACTCGTGAGATCCGTGCTCTGACATACACGCCGTGGCACAGGTGCACAGGCGCGCGCGCACACACTAAAAATAATAAATAATAATAATATAGTAGAAGCTTAAGGGATATAATTTAAGGCTAAACCCCAAACTCCCAATGAAATCAATGAACACGAATATCAGCAGGGCCCGGTGAGGCATGCCCGCAACCCCAGCATTTGGCAAACAAGGTGGCAGGACAAGGAGCTTCCAAATTAAATAAATTAAAGACAAGCATGAGGGGCTGGAGGGATGACGACCTGGTGTTTTTAAGAGCGCTGGCCGCTCCTGTGAAGACCCGAGCTCGGTTCCCAGCACCCACATCAGGCAGGCCACATCTGGCTATCCCACAAGAGCCGGTCCGTGCAGCCCGGGGACAGCGGGACGGAAGCGTGCATGCACACACGGGCTGCACAGGCTTTTTGTTTTTAAGAAACACGAAACCAAATCCCCTCCGGACCGTGAAACTCGATGCTGACGCAGGGAGGGCTCAGCGGTGGAGCTCGCCGGCCCGGCCTCCGTGCGGGGCGTGACTCAGTTCTGAAACAGAAAGTCCCTGCGCTCTGACCGCGGGCACAAAACGTTCCGCAGGGGACCGTTACTAATCCAATTTGCTCGCCCGCTCGCCCGCCGCCCGGCCCGCACCCCCTCCGCCCCCGCAGCCCCCGGGGCCTCCC